ACTGTTATTGATGCTGTATTAACCTATAAATTCCCAACACCTTCTTTTTCAAAAAAATCATGTTGAATCGAGTATTGAGTACTAGAAAGAAATAGAAAGAAAATCGTTTAGTTCTTGATTTTAATGCCTGAAATCAATTTAAAGCAGAACCCAGCACTTGTATAAATACGCTGTCTATGTGTTCAATTGAGCGGATTAAAACGTGCTATAAAGCAAGTTAATAAGGACACAACACCTAATATAATGTGGTAAATTTCGAAAAGAAACATCGGTAGAAAGAAAAATTTCCCCATAGACGATTTGGTGTTATTAAAATTGATGAATAAGGATTGCGAGCAAATGTTAATATTTAGAATCAGATAATTGACCAATATAGAAATACATTCTTAAGTCTTCGTGTTACTTTTCAAGATTACTAATAGAAATGAGTATCATAGAATAAAAATATATTGAAACAACGGTAAAATGGCAGTGCACGATTAACTAACTCAGTTTTGCTACGGGAACAGATTCAATGACAGATTTTTATACATGGATACACTTGACAAATTTCTATTGCCAGTTAAAATAAGTTCAACAAAAAACCGCCACCCAATCTATCAAAGAGTAGCCAAGCCTGTTCAAGCAACATTATTCTAATTTCTTTCTAAAATATGTGGAAACTATAGAAATACTACAACTGCGCTAGCTTGTATATTTACTTTCGATTGTGTTGACCATAAACCCTTATTTTGATATTTTCGACATAGGTATTGCAATCCACTTGGATAATTTTTTTTATTCCAATTTAAATTTATAGGATATGTTTAGCCCCTGTTTGGTATGGATTAAAATTAAAATTTTAATTTAAGTCAAAGTCAACAATCAATTTTAACCACACGTTTCATGGGTCCCACAACTTTTCAACCACACATTTCATCAACTTTTATCAAAGTCTACTAAAAATATTATTTTAATTTTCACTAAACATGGGCTTAATATGTTGAACTCAACTTTACTTGACAAGTAAATTTACGTAGGACATGTTTGATATGTTGAACACAACTCTACTTGACAAGTATAAGAAAGAGAGATGTTTGTCTATTAACTTGTGTGATTGAGAGTAAAAACATGACAATTAGGCATACTAACAGGCCCCAATTACACATAAAAAGTTTCTGGGTAGTGCCTCAACAGCATTTGATCACTTTCTAAGGCATGCACAAGATTCAAGAAAGTGATTCTTAACATACCCAGTTTCTTATCCTAGCAACAATATGTTCCAGCAAAACTTTACAATCTCAGAAACATGGTACACTGGTAAAAAATTCTTACAGCTAATACCAGTAATTATACTCAGAAAGCTTCGTGTATTGTCTGTCTTCCAAATCTACAGCACACAGGTAACTGTCAGACAGATTTAGTTTCAAATCTTTAATGACAAGTTCGAATCCCGTTTCCTTCGGCACGGAAAAGAAAGGGGTAGGCAAAATTACGTGAGAGAAAGAGGGCTAGCTGGCTTTCCGCTTTCTTTCCTTGCTACACTCATTCACTTCCTAAGCTACTTTACTTCGTATACTAACTATTTGACCTTTCTTGCAGCAATATTCTCAGAGGCGGAAGGAGCCAGCATTCTTTTTCTTTCTTCATATTAGGTTAAAGTATAATTTGGTCACTTCTATCAGGAATTAGGATAATTAAGTGCAATTTGATCACTTCTATAAGGAATCAGGATAAATAAGTTCCGCTAAGGAAACATGTCTAACTCCCACGACTTGTCATACATAGTATCCCAACATTTAACTCTCATAATATAACATCGACCCCCAGTCAACGTTTACACTATTCACCAAACAACACATATGAGCCTGGGCTCTGCACAATTGAGATGATGCTCAATATCCTGCTCACCTACTGTAGCATCACACAAATTTGACAAACTAAAGGAGGCCACTAAAGCCTTATACCATGCATCACATTTTGTCCACCCTTCACAATACGGTGCGCATTGTTTTACAAATCATATCTAGGAATTCTC